GCATCTAAAGTTTAAATTTTTATTAAATACATGAAAATTACGGCAATGTTCAAATTATCTTAGATAGATATTCATAAGTCTTTCTTTTTAAATCTAAGATTTGAAGAGAGATYTAAATATTATGAATATCATAACCATCATCAAAATATATTGATAGTGGATTTATGTCAAAAATATCGCTTAACCTAGTTTAAACCTTAGATCATATACCATGATCTAAGATTTAAACCGTCAAGTTCAGTGGCTTAGGGCCAGTTGTACCACACTAMCACCTCCGATTAAAGTTAGCCGAAGTCATAGACTATAACTATTACTCACAGATATCTATATTATATCTATATTATATAATATAGATATCTGTGCTATTACTACTGTTCTATGCTATGACTATGTCTRTGGCCGAAGTTACCCGGTTAAATATCTGTAATCAGCTRAATAAGCATAATCGAAATTTAACCGTAGACGGTACAACTCTTCGACCATATAAGTTAGCTTATATGGTCGAAGGTCGAAGGTACAACTCATAGACATAATCACAGTTTAAGATAGAATTCTATCTTAAACCGTGATAATTAACACGCGAGTTGCCGCGTTTTTTTGTTTTACATTTTTCGATTTTTTGATTCCAGTTATAATAATTAATAGCGTAATATTATCATAGACATAATATAGATCATAATCTATATTACATGTATGAATATTATTATCTGTTATAATATTATATCATAGAATACATAAAACATAGCATTAAGCATAATATTTTATATTATTAATTCTAGTTTTATTAGTTTATTAGTTTTGGTTGTTGATATTTTGTAAAACAGTGGTAAAATGGTAAATATATTTTCTATTAAAAGCTGTAGAAACATTGGTAAGGATGGTGTTCATATGCATAAGTAAGTTAAAAAATTATARAATTTTAATAACTTTTATATTTTTAATACATTTAACTATTTGACATATTATGTTTTTAAGATTTCCGAGTAATGAACAAATTKCAGTGATATGGACTAACACAATTAAAAAAATACAACCATCGTACACGCCTTTAAATTTTTTTTGATTCTTAAAAAAATAAATAATAAATATTTAAATAATTAAGGCATATTTATTATTTATCTATTCTGTAGTATATATTTTACATTTTACAATGTCTATTGTCTTACCAGTTATCACTTTTATCTACACAAAATAATACCTTAGAATAAAAACAGTAAAAATGTTTTATCCATGCTATTTTACCTACTCCGGTCTTGTTATTTAGACCATAGACATAATAAAATGTCTATGGAATTTATTGATGGCGAGGGGGGAGGAACGCGCAGTCCATATATATTATGTCTATGGTACAACTGGYCCTTATTAGGGCTATACTATTATACTATACATACTTTTAAACTGGGTTTAAGAGTTAAATTAGTCTTGTACAGCATACGATTTGGTCTTAATTTAAATTTAGTTTAAACTAGACTGGTAAAACTTACTGTCACTAAGTCACTACTGGCCCCACGAAATTATCTTACATCTTTGGCGCGAGTGAGAAATATCAATGATGTCTAAATTAGTAGTCAATAATTTTTCATAAAAATTGTTTTTCTCTACTAGTGATTACACTGATTTGAGACGGTTGTATTATCTATTATGTGATAATAATATTATTAATTAATTATTGTCAGTATTGTCAATTGTCATTTGTCACCTTCAGCAAGCAGTAGGAATACTAGGAACAGTAGGAACAAAATAATAAATAATATTTCTTACCTTAAGTAATTTGTATTTTAATTTGTAAATAGGACATTATGTTCTATACGTAATCATTCTACGTCAATTATTCTTATATTCACCTATAGGTACAATTTAAAAATAAGAATACTCTAAATCTAAAGGTTCGTGTTTTAAATTTATTTAAACTTTAATGATAAATTTAGTTAAATAAATAATGTTTTAAAATTTTTAATTTAATATTTAAAAAATACTACATAATATCATACAACGTCAATATGTACATAAAGTATTTCTTAAGTATTAATTTTGACTTACTTGAGGTTTGACTATTAACTGAAATATAAAAATATTTGTTGTCTAACAGATTAAGAATTTAATACTTACCAATTTGAGTGATCTATCAAAAAAATAATGTCTGAGGAAGATAAAATTGAAGACTTTGCATGTGTAGAAGAATCTCCCAAAAGAGGTGAAAAAAGTGTTATTTTATAACTCTTATATGCATTAGCTGCTAAAATTAATTTATTTTGAAAGTTATTTTTGTTAARMMTWATTTTGGATTTATAAAATATATATTGTTTTAAAATATATAACCTTATTTTGGCACAATTCTCATAATATTATGAAAAATACTATTATCCATTGTTGTTGCTATTCATATAAAAAAGGAAATGGTAACTATCATACAAATTCAAAACATTTTTCACATAATGAACTTTGTTTATAAATGTCAGATGTTTCAAAATTATAATTGTTGAAATCATCATATTGATTCGTTACATGGTATGCATTGAAACAAACATAYTATGAAATTAAAATTCATTTGTATGGAATTTGTTATTAAGGCTAAATACGAGATAGGATAATTTTGTTGTTTGTTCAAAACATGTGGTACCAAAGAAATTTGTTTTTAATAAAAATAAAGAAAGAAAAGGTTACTGTTAGCAGTTTATATTTATATTTAGTGTGCCGAAAAATATTACCAATCCATCCTGGTTACATCTGACCTTATACTCTCTTTTAGGTCCAAATACACTGCACGTTTTATATTCAGCAGTTCTCATTTAACTCCGTTAGTTTGAAATTTAGAGTGAATTGCCCTATTATATAAATTAAAAGTACATTATTATCTAGGTTATCGCATGGGCTTTTTATTATATTTTAATTTTAAATTGAGTAATGAATATTTTAAGAAATGCATACAATTTTAAATTTTAAAAATATTCATTACTTGATTTAATATTAAAATATTATGAAAAGTCCATATRATAAATTGATAACCTAAATAATAATTTTTACGAGAGATCAACTCACTTTAAATTTTAAAATAACGGTGCTAAATTTGAACTGTTGAGCATAAAATGTACTATGTTACACATTTGTAAAACAGAGACAACACGTCATGTAGGTGTAGTGTCCTCTTAAATGATTGATTTTAGTATTAGGTATTTTCTTAACCATTGTATCATGGCACTATCAAAATAATAAACAATATTTATTTTAAATATGAACATATTTTTTGTAACATAAAATTAATAAAACTATATTACTCATAATTTAAAACATAATTGCCTATTTGTTAATTATTTGYTATTTATTTTAATTAATTTATGTAACAAAGCTTAGAAGTTGTGTACTGTTTTTTAGGACCAACTCTTTCGACTAGTACTAGTAGTTTTGAACGTAATGATCCTCATGATCCTAATTTAAGCTTATTATCCACTAAAATGTTTGAAAAAACATCTGAATATTTGATGGGAGAACTTAACATTACTGAGGTTGGTTTATAATATTTATCATTAAACAAAATAATGTGTATTTAATACAATTTTGTATTTATTTCATATAGGAGGATTATAAATTGTTAGAAACCATGAATAAAGTCACTATGCAAAAATATGCATCTTATAGACAAATTGCTTCAGATGTTGGAAGACAAATCAACGAACTAAATGAAAAATGTAATGTGTATAATATTTTTATCAAATTTTAAAAATTACTTATTGTTATTTGTTATTCAGATTGACATTCCTTTTCTCACAATTGCTTATATTTCTATTCTTGTATATCATTTTGAAATAGATGGTTTTCTTTGATTCCAAATTCAYTTTTTTACTTATTATTTTTTTTATTCAGATAAATYGTTAGAACCATACCTTTCTCAAATTGACCAGATTGAAGATAGTGTGTCAAAGCTAGAACAAGCTGCGTTTAAATTGGATGCTTATGCCAAGAGATTGGAAGCAAAATACAAGAGTTTAGAAAAACGACAATAATTTTAATCTTACATAATATATTACTTTGTATTCTGTTATGAATGTATACATATTATATTACTTGGTGAGGGATTGTTCTACCATATGTGACGTGTGTCTCATAAGACACAGCAGTTTATGTATGTGAATCCAATATTAAGAAGATGCTACACACATATTTGTTGTCTCTGTCTTACAGGTGTGTAACAGTGCAACATAGCAAATTTATACTTAGTAGATCACATTTAACTACTCTGCTAATTTAAAAATTAGAATTAATTGGCCTATTATGAAACTTGATGGTAAGAACATTATTTGTGTTTGTATGTGGGTTTTTTACGATAACTTAGTTTTAAAGTGAACTATGAGCATTTTTAATTTAAGTTTTATACACGCGTAACTGCTACGTTATTTAGCTATTGTAAAAAACTCACAGATAATATACTTAACATCAAGTTTCATAATAAGTCGATTCACTTTAATTTTTAAATTAACAGAGCTAAACGTGAACTGCTGAGCGTAAATTTGCTATGTTATGCAGTAGTAAGACAGAGACAACAAATGAATGTATAGCTTCCTCTTAAATACATATTTTATATTTACACAATTATATGTTCGATTACATTATTCATATTAATATTACAACTCAAAAATTGGCAACAAAATAGTTTTTTAATCAAGTTAAAAATCAAAATGTATTTAAAATTCCCAATGATAAAACAAGTTTCACTCCATTTCATAACATAATAGGCTCAACAGGAATATTTTAATCTGGTAACAACATAACAATATTTGAATTAAGACTAACAAATTTTTTTTGTTGCAAGTGGAATCACATACATAAGCTGCTGCGTCTCATATGAGACATACACTTTGCATTTGGTAGAACAATCCTCTACCACATTTATGTATAAACGATGATTTAGTATTGATACATTATAGCTTATAAATTATAAGAGTTATATTCCAAGTCTAAACCAAACATAAATTTGGTGTACTGAGCTAACCTACTTTATTATTTTCTTCAAGTAGGGAATTTTATTTAATACTTTAAAATAATKTATTAATTGTACTCTACATAATATTCATAATAAAATACATAGTTTTATAAATTTATATTAGTTACAAATAAGAATTGTTCATATGTATTTGAATTTAATTCAAACTAAAACTATGTTCTATTATTTGGTTATCTAAATTAAAATAGGTCTGTAATTAAAATATAAATTATAATATTGATAAATACTTAATTATAGATCTATTAGTTTTTAAGTATTGGACATAGTCAGATAGGGTATAAAAAATTTAAATTTCTAGTAATAGGTATTGTGTTTGTTTTTTAAATTTTTTGTGATAATTTTCAACTATGATTTTCAGCCATCTTAAAACATTTCACCGATGGTTTGGTAGTACAAAATTGTTTTTAGTAAAATAGTAGGTACCTGTTGAACATTATAAAACAATATTTTACTATTAGACTTGTAACTCAATATATCTGCTAAAATAATCAAAATCAAACATCTGAGAATTCATTAACATTAAATTATTAACACGTTAAAAAATAAGATATAAACTTAATACAATTACAGGGATTTGGGTACATTTTGTGAAACTTAAACATTTTCTATCATATTAAACTCAAATGTTAAATGTAGGTATAACAAATAATAACAAAATAACTTAAACTAAATAATATTCTTTAGAACAAAATTCCACTTTGAATTTAAAAATAAAATATAGTTTACACCTAATGTCCATATTGATTATCCGCTTCAAAATCCGGAACCTAAAAATTAAAATATACTGTTGTACACTTGYCTTTTACCTAGAGCTAGAACTATAACAAATATCTCTAATGACAAGTTGTAAGAGAATACCAAAATGTATCCACTTTCAAAAATAAGTGACCCAAAAATTGAATTGCTAATTATAATATTTAATAAGTAATTATTTACGATATTAATTTGAAACTTTTTTATCTTTATATACTTACCGTTGTTGGTTGTGGGAGTGTAGCTAAGTAGAATTGTCGTGCGTCAATCTAAATACACATCAAATTAAGTCATTAATGTAATTCAAAGGGGAAAAAAATGTTTAAAATATATTCATTTTACTGGTTTGTGGTAGTAGAAATCTTCTTCGGCTGCAACTACTTCAGGCCTATTTTCAATACCCCCAGTATTTTTTTTCTCAATATTATGCACTAATTTGTATACCGCTGAATTAGACAAGTCAAATTTTGGTGGCTCGTACTTTCTAAAATTTACCCTGCAAATAAAATACATATTAATGTAAAAAATATCTTCTTTTTTTATTAATTTAGAAAATAAAGGTACCTACTACCTACTCTTGCATGAATATATAATATAATCAAGTAATCGATTATATTCTGTTGTATTATATTATACGTACAAGTTAATTTAACTATACTTAAATAAATATTAAATATAAAACCAAATGATCAATTAGATTTTAGTATAACATTATATATAACATTATTTAATGATATATATTCGACTATCACCTGTCAGCTATACAAATTGGAAACAATTGTTTGCCTGTATAAAATGGTCCAAATTTACCTTTTTATAACTGATGCTTTTTTATTTATTTTTTAAGAAAATTAACAAATTGTATAAGATATCTAAACAGGATTTGCTGGTTAATAGAAATATATTATAACCATAAAATTCTAAAGTTAATTTTAATCAAATATGCCACATAATTTTGGCACCAACAAATATTTCATTTTGTAAGAATGTCAACTTATAGTTTTAGGTAGCTTTGAAACGCAAAAAAAACTTATTTTTTAGAAATAATTGTACTCATACTTCAAATTATACAAATTAATTATTACTAGTTAGTCTTTTATTAAGTAATAACTAATATAGACTAAACAGGAGCAAATCATATCTGCCATTTAGAGTTCTACATAGGTAAGCAAATAGATCAACACATCTGAAAGCGTAAATTGTATATTATATTAATTTAAAAAATTTCAAGTTAAATTTTTACCCCAATGTAGAACCAACTAAAACTTCCGCTTGAGATATCAATGTTTCAGCAATAAATTTCTCATTGTAAGCATCTTTGGGGCATCTCCATTTGCGACCACCAGGCAATACGATAGGTCTTGGTAATGGTGTAAGGGGGTACATTGGCCTACCACTGGGTTCTCTATCTTCGGCTTCTTCGTCAGAATTATTGTCTTCTGATATTTCATTAGATTCTAATTCTTGTTCATCTTCAAATGTTTTTTCATCATTAATCGTCTCAAGCACATCATCATCATATAATGTCTCTAATGACACATCATCAGTATTTTCCTGTTCGATAAAAGTTTCTTTTTGTTCTTCTTTATCATCATTGTTTTTAATTTCATTACATCCAGATATTTCAGTTGATTGAATTTTGAGTGAGAGTATATCTGAAAGTTGTTTTTCCAACAATGAAATATGATTTTGTATTTGTAGTGGTAATTCCCGAATAGCTGTCAATTGATTTTGAATATTTAATATACTCTTTTCAAATGTATTCTCAGGCTCTTTGTTCACCTCATTAATTTTTGATTCGTGAGTTTCTTCAATTTTTTCAGTTAAATCCTAAAAAATATACCTATAGTTATAAATTTTAGATTCTATTTTTACATTTGGATTCAAAATTGACAATGAATATTTACATAATTTTAAATAATTTATGTTTAAAAATTTAAATTAGCTAATAAATGAAAATTTAAGAACTTAAAACAGATGGGTATAGATAACTACTTATATATTAAAATACATGAATTGTTATATAATATATCTACCTCATTTATTTTAATATTTTCATTTTCTTCATGATCAATCCCACATTTCTCTTCATCTCCTTCAATTTCGATTTCAATGTGTTTTTCAAAATCCTCTTTAATATCGTCTACATTATGATCGATATCACAATTTTCTATCTCTGTTACTGTATCCGTAGATACAATACAGTCTTCTATATCACTTAATTTACATTTACAGTTGGTACATACTTTTTCACAAGGATTGGATTTATTTTCCTTGACTAGTTGATTTTCCGATTCATTAACCTAGATATATGAGAAGTATTTTTTTTTGTACTACTTATAATCATAATACCTAAATAGTTAATATACATTTATGATATATATAAACTTAATGTTTATAAATGTACAGATAGAATACATAAAAATTTAATTTAATATAAATTAATTCATAATACCTATCTCACCTCAGTTTGTTTTACTTCTTCTGGTTTTTTTTTTTCCGGTGGTCTGATTTTAGGTCTATTTGGTGGTGTTAAAAATGTTGAAAATCTTTTAGTTGGACACTTCTTTAATTGTTCTTGCTCTGATTTTTGGTCAAAAATTTGTTCTTCTTGTAATGTTTGAAATACCAGTGAATTTTTAATAAAATCACATTTAGGCACAAAACGCTTAAAATTTACACTATAAAAATTTAAAGTATATTAATTTCAATTAAATATTGTATATTTACTATTTACCCTATGACATTTTTCCCATTGTTTTCAATAACTTCAGCGCTTTCTAATAATTTTTCAGCTATTTCCTCCTCAGTCATCTCATGACCACTTTCATATGATTCTGATACAGCTATGTCACACAATTATTAAATAATTATTATAGGTTTAAATCATACATTTATAGCTTGGACTTGCCTGATACTACATTATCTCTATGTTCATACTCAGATAAACTTCCAATAGAAGATGTTGCACGATCAATGACAGAAGGTGTGTGTAGTCCTCTGGTCGGTGTAACTGCTGGCACTGGACTTCCTCTGAAAATAAAAATTAAACTTTAATCTTATAACAAGAAGAAATAATTACTTATTTCAATAGTTCAATTTTTTAATAGCTTTTATTTTTTCAGAAAATAAAAAATTTAAATTTCAAGGAATTGCTATATATCATATCATGCTACCAAATAGAGAATATAAACATGAACAATTTTAAAAAAGAAGCCACCTCTGTTTTTGTACTTAAATAAAAATTAAGTAGGTATTTCATTTAATAAGTTGGTTTTAGTTGAATAAAATTAAACAAGAAATAATYGGGTGTAAAAACGTTACAATGGTACTTATATCAAAACTAAAAAATAAAATACCGATAGTGCTAAAAAAAATAATTGCTTGCAGTTTCTTATGGCTTGCTTACAAAAAAATTGAATTTCAACGCCTAGTGCAGCAGATAATTACAAAACGTAATATTATTGTGWTGAATATTTGAAAAACACAATATTATTTTCTTCTATCATTSTACTAAATCTCTGGTATTTATCAATCTACAAACTTAGTGCCTAAGCTTAGTTTATTTCCTCGTTATATTACTGTAATAATAATAATTATCGAAGGTTATATTATATATATTATATAATATATAGTTAATTCATCACTATATATTATATACAAATACTTATAAATAATTATTTTTCAAGATTATTATTTGTTATGGTTGTTGAATCTGAAATCATGAATCAATTTRGGTAATAATGTA